CCTGCTCCAGCTCGCAGTACACAATACGTTGGAGGAGATTGCCGAAGCGCAGGAGAGGGCCCAGCTCGCGCGCCTTTCGAGCTCCCAGACCGGCAGACATATACTCCGAGAGCTCAGTTACTCTCCGGCTGAAGTGGACGAGAAGATGAGACAGGTGCCCCGTGGGGTTCGCGACCTCAACACCGGGGAATGATACCGGGGAATGTCCATCCCAAGCATAATCGTGGCAGGCGATGGGCTAGAGCTGCCACTCTTCATAAGCAGATCCACAGGGAGGAGCGCGGCGTCAGCTTTGTCGACGCGTCAGCGTACCGCGGGAGCCGCGCCTTCTCCGCAGTCGTCGTCGACACCAAACAGCAAATCAGCAACTGCGCATCGGTTCACACTGACGATCCGACGATTGCCGAGCCATCACCCTTGCCATCCTGGACGGTGAAAGGAGGGTTGTCTATAGTGACTCTATAGGTCAGCTATTCAAGCTTTCGAGCACGGTTTCGTCAAGAAAGCCCTGTGCGTGCTCCAGAGTGGCGGCGGCGACGGTATCAAGCATCACGTACTGATCTGGTTTCCTGCACATGTTGAACAGGTCCAATGCTGGGGCTGGGGGACCTGTTGTACAGGTGCCCCAGCCTCAATGAGTCTGCCCACGAGACCGCGCGTGCACTAATCGACCGCGACGGTTCCGGGCAATGATTCGGGGCCAACGGGGTTGCGGAAAACAGGGACGCGCCTGCAACATACAACAAAATAACAAAACATTTTTACCTCGCGCGAAGAATATACCACTCCCTCATCCAAAACTTTTAGGCCACAGGCCCTTACGTTCAGACCACTGCCGACCGACACGTACCGTGACCTGAAATCCCTTCATGCTATTTATCTTGACGTGTTCCCTCATGACGCTTGCCCAGCATGTGGGGATGTATCCACGCTGGCGCGCATGCTCTGGCAGTGCAAGACAATGTACACTAACTTCGACACTACTTTGGACAAGTGGGAGGCGGCCCTACGCAGCTCTCTCCTGGCCGACCAACTTTGGACCGTCCAGCAGGCCCGCGGAGCAGCTGATAGGCTTGGCCTAACGGTCCCGACGTGGGAATCACCCGCTGCGTGCTAACGCGCGCTTTGCGAGACCACAATATAGTTTCGCAACCAACCAACCGAAAAATTCTCAAACCATCTTTCACCTTGTGAGGCTGACGCAGGCAGCGTCTGCCAGTAAAAAAACCAACTGCTCGAGCTGCACAACGCTTCACTGGCCACCCCGTATATGTAGGCACTGGATCGCACATCAGCATGCCACCACTCGTTAAAGCAACGCTTCTCCTTCATTGAATAAATAATAATATAGATGAAATAACAATTAATCATTCCCAAACCATACCCAATTGCGCAACATTCACGCGATACCGCCACATTCTGCGACGCATTTGCTTGAGTTCTCCCCGTGGCAAGTTACGGACGGCATTTTAAGTGCGAATGCATTTTGTACTCGGGCTATGCAAGGCATCCAGCGTTGTCCGCGGTGGTGTCTGCGCGGCGGCTGGTGTTATCTCTCCGCTCTCACTCCCTCTCCCATCGCAACAGCTGCGGGCGCGCACGCTTATCCTGGCCCCTAGCAACCAGGGCATGTGGTGCGAGAGAGTGTAGGAGAGGGTAGGTGCATTTTTTCTCCGCTCCTTTTTTATCCGTGGGAGGGGGACGTAGAAGAGGAGAGGGGCGCGTATGAGCAATCACGGTGTGAACGACGCGGGGAGAAATGCCTGGAGGAGAGAGATGAGGAGCGAGCTATAGACTAGCAGACACTGCCTTCGTCGGCGTTGCGAGGCGAGAAGAGGGCAGCGTAGGAGATCAAAGAGAGGGGAGGCTACGCGCATGCGCTGTATGGGTGATCACGCCACACACCGGATTGAACTCAAACCAGGGAATCTTCTCATCTAAAAATTACACCATTTCCCACTAAAGAGATCCACGAGTAACATGTGATCCAGTGCATGAAAAAATTCCGTTATTCATGGGCACCTTGCCCGCTGTTGACGCGTTTTTGCAAGTGGCGCACACCATGAATTCACTGTAGTTTCTGTTGGTGTTACTCGTCCCAAGTTGTTGTTGACGCATGCCCCCAGGGAGGTGCCAGACACTTGCCACATGGTGTGGGTCTGCCAAGACAACGCATCCATTACACCTAACCTAAACCCTAGGCGAGAGGACTAGGAGGTGGCCCTGCTCGGCTGCTCAGACCTTTAGGCCCAACAGATCTTGGTCCAGACAGCCTGGACGGCAGCTTTGACCAATAGGGTCCTAGAATGAAGACTCCAGCTAGTCTGTAGGGATCTCTAAAGAGGTCCTACGCCTCTCTTTTGCGAATAATTGCTTTTCACCACTACCACACCGGTTCAATTGCACGCCACTTGGGAGCACGCATTTTAATCGCGTATCTGCAAGATCTCGTTCGCCGGTGCAATCCCGTGAGTGTTGAGAGAGTGCAAGGGGGAGTGGCCATATCCTATTACAGATTCACTTATGCAAGCCCAAACCAATGCCTCCTAGAAAAACTATGCCTAGAACGTGGCTCTCTCTTCAATTGAGAGCTTGCTGCCAGCACAAAGTCTTGGAGGCCATGCCTCCTACCGCGTGTTGCGACCGTCCGCCGCGTGGGACCGCTCGCCTCCGTACCGCTTTGTCACGTGATATTACCGTACGGCTGTCACGTGACATCACAGCTGCTCGGAGGCAACCGTGAGCATACAGTTTTAATATACACTAGAGGGAACTCTGGCGCTAGTGTCTATGGAAGCTGCAACACACGGCGCTTCGGCGAGCATGGGAATGATGGGTAGTACAGACATCTGTCTAATTTTCGTACTTCTGGCCTGCTTCTGGCTCCTTGTGTGTTCGTGTGGCTTGAAGCTGTTTTTTCACGAAAACATAAATTAGCAATGTTCACCGTGTGAGCTTCGCAACCTTATTCTTTTAGGCTTACCATTTCGAATCAAGTCACTAAATTCAAAAGGGTTCGTTCTTTCTTTCAATACAAAACCGTAACCAGCAATAAACGAAGCCGCAAGTACGATTCGCTGCCCGCAAGTACGAAGACTAGGCAAATGTGTGTACTACCCATCATTCCCATGGTCGCTGAACGATCGCAGCGCCAGAGTGCCCTCTAGTTAATTTTGGGAAACTCTATGACTGTGAGAGCATTGCTGTGTTCGCAGGGGGCAACCGCCACAGCCATTCGCCTCCATACTGGGAGGGGAGGGTAAAATTCGAGGGTAGGGCGGCACGTTCGCGGCTCACGTTCCAGGCATAATTTTTCTAGGAGGCGTTGCCCAAACACGCAAGCGCGTGCCAGCGCGTGCCAACGCGTTTTGACTAGGATACAAGATGTGATTTGTAGAATCTCGTTTCCCGACGCCATCACGTCATTGCTGAGAGAGTGTAAGGAGGTGAGGCCACGGCGTCGTGCCCAGCCCCTTACATAGGCCAGAACGCGCCAGCGCGTGAGTACTTTCTGGCTGTGCTTGGGCAAGCTGTTGGGCATGCGCAGTGAGGGTGGTCACACCGCACATGAACGGATTGAACTCCGCTATACCATGCTTCGCATCAAAAATGAAAACACGTGAATGGCGGCAGATCCACGACGTGATGCTGATGATGAAGTGAAGATGGGTCCCAATTTCTACGTAAGTTATACATATAATTCACCGAGTAGAATAAAGGATGAACGGATGAACAAACAAATGGAGGGACGCATAGACGAACGAATTAAGGGGCCGTAGGACGTACGAATGGACAGATGGATTGAAAGAAGTGCGGACGTATGTATGGACGAACAGACGCGTCGAGAGAAGGGTGGATGGACACACCAATGAATGGACAGATGGACGAAGGCATGGATGGATGCACGAGTAGGCACATAGACTCTACGACGGGTGCACAGATGAACAGCAAGTGGATGGACAGATGGGCGGATTATTAAGGTCTATTTTTGAAGCACATGCGTGCTATAAACACTTTGTAGACGCTATTGCGCACAGATATTTCGTCCTTGCTGCTCATCAAAGGGCAATGGCGAGGCTCGACGAAAATGGTCCGACATTGTCATGGCCTAAGGAGCTCCGCTCCTAAACAATGATCTAGCCAGTCAAATGGCCACAGGCTTTCGCCGAACACACTTTCAAATTTATAAAATGTTTTTTTCAGTTTTTTTTACAGCCAAGCTGTAAACGACTAATGTGTTTCATTTTGTAAGATCTATTTGTGTCCGGCGAAGGACAAAAAAAAAACTACCACGTTACCCCCTCCAAGTGAACGACGATATCACATGAGGACGTTACGTGACGATGACATCATAATGCCTTCACAGATAAAAAAATTTGAAATTCATTAGGGCTTACGTGAGACTGTCTCAAACTGGAAGGCCGGACAAAGAAAGACAAATATTTTCGATATGTAATAGACGAACGCGGCGAGCACCCAGTGTACTCGAAACAAATTTTATTAGTGAAAACCGAATGTGTGGCTTCAAATCAGACTTTTGTGCCGATAAAAGACAAGTCGTGTTGCTTTCAATGCGTGCTAGAGATGTTGTGATGCTTGCAGTGAGTTTCCTTCTGAGATATTGCCTGTTTGCGCTTCTTGTTTTTTTTTCTATTTTGTTCGCTGTGCTGGCCTGTGTCTATTACCACCACTGCAAAGTCAGAGAATGACTTTGCTGTGCTTTTCACCTTGAAGACCAGTATAGATTAACTACCTCCTCTTCCTCCTGGACGTGTGTTATCACAGCAGGGAACATTGGCAAGGTCAATTTGTTCTGTTCTCCTCCACCCTACTTGTTGAAATATTTTTCCGTAACCCTTTAATGGAGTCAAGTATAGTGCACTGGTTCATTTTCACTTCTTTCGTAAGAGCGGATTTAGCCCCTCTTATTCTTTGCCGCCCTCTTGTAATCGGATTTTTAACGAAGTCATGATATCTGGCTCTGCTTAACTGTACTGCAGGCCGACTTCGGCAACGTCAAGATTCCAGCCGGTTATGAGCTCCCCAGAGAGGAGAGCCTGGGCAGGCTTAACCCCAGGCAGCACAATACGATGGCCTCCGAGGTTATCCTCAAGGACAGTGCTACTGTGATGCTCAGGCAGTTCGACTATATGGGCAATTGCCCAGGATGTGAGTACTCCCCGATTTCTGAACCGTATGCTCTTGATTCAAGTTTTGCCAATAGTAAATGGAAGAAGGGGGAGCTTGGAGTTTGATTTACTTGTCAGTTTGTCAGTTTACTTGGTCATTGTAAACCCCTTCTCAAACTTTTCCAATTTTGCATAAACGTGCACATACGAACGAGTGAACAAGCATAAAATTTGGTTAATACTTCCCGCCTTTTCCCGTCACCACCTCAAGAAATAACTGGCTTAGGCTGCCAGACATTTCTAGAGGGCGCTTGCGTCCCCACAACTGATACAAACGCTAAAGTAAAGCTATTTCGTGTGAGTAATCGAGATGCATATCGGTACCGATCTTTATACTTACCTAAATCTGGTCACCGATCCTGAAATACCGATCTTCTTATTCCACGGTTGTGCTTCAACACGTGGTGACTGTATGCAGCGCTTGCCGCAAAACATGCTTTAGACTGTTTATACCTGTGTAGCTCGCTCAAAAAAATAATAACGTTAATAATCGGACCAGGTGGAAACATGATGGGAGTACATATTGCGAGTTCACAAAATTTTAGTGATTCCGTAGCACAAAATAACTGCGGAGGTTCTAAATGCACTGCCTCACAATCACTAGTCTTAACGAGAGCCCACATTCACTCATGCATAGAACATCCTAAGCACAGTACGAAGACGGTGATCTGCACGCCGGGCCACTTGCGACATGTCCATGGCCCAGGTGTTTAAGACCTCTGATATATATGATCATTTCTGCCCTAACACGTCTCAGAGCAGTGGCATAGCCAGGAAGAGAAACACCTGGCCCGGGCCCTGCCCCTCAACCTGAAATTTTGTTCGCCATGGAGAACATAGTGGAAAATGATGATTATCCTCTCTTGTGGGTGTGTTTTCGCGCTGTTACTCCCTAAGCGGCGTTCAAGACACCATGGTTCAAGTGGAAAAGTTGTTCCAGTGTCGTTCTTATGGATTGATTAATACAGCTTTTTCCTGGTATAGTGAGAAGCCAGCTGAATCGTTTACATTATCTCTAAACACAAAAGGGCCAGAAATTTTATGCTTTTATAAGTCCTGTAACAATGGAGAAGCAGAACTACGTGCAGCAAGAGCAGTATGAACCATATTCAAGAAAACCAGGTGACGTTCGCAAAGAAACGCCTCCTTTAAAACGCACGCCATGCCAAGGTGTTGTTGTTTTCCTCTCGCGAACAGTAAGCACCGTTGCGAGTTTCGAATAAACGTTGTTGGTTACTGAAATACTTGCAGCTGCCTACTTCGTGGCGGCCCCCACTCCCAACCCCCAGCCGGAACAGCTGACCCGCCTCACGTGCGACGATGGAAAGTAAGTACCACACAAATTGGACGAGTACTGAGGCGGCTCTTCGCGCATAATACTTCCAGGTTTTCAGTTGTTCCATCCCCTTTCCCTTTACAATAGAGTCACACTGTAGTTTACTACAAAAATTGAACGTAATTTAAGTAGCCTTCAAGTTGACGACGGTTGTTCAATGTTCAATGTTCGACGTTTGTTCAATGTAAAGCAACTGAACTGAAACGTTATATTTCAGCCTGTTATCACATGGTAAGGAAACATGTGGGGTTAATAGGAAATTTATTGCCACTATTGCGTCATATAGTGCATTTATATGAAAATTCCTGCTCACTGAGATCCGTAGAGAAAATGTGGTAATGTTTGCCGGCACTAAGCTTTAGCTAAGGCTTCGGCTGGCCACGAAAATCTGTAGGCAGCTAATCCCGTTCAAAGTTCGTTGCAGTCCACTGTATGATAAAAGTATGGCAGCTGGGACTAGTTGGTATGACATGATGATAGTTAGAGCGCGAGAACAAAACGAACACACAGAGACGAGAAGGACATGAAGGTGTCCTTCTTGTCTCAGTGTGTTCGTTCTATTCTTGCGTATAACTATCACCACTGTATGACACATGGCAATTCGTGTCCTCCATGTCCTTCTTGTCTCAGTGTGTTCGTTCTGTTCTCGCGTATAACTATCACCACTGTATGACACATGGTAATTAAGCGTCTTTGTCAAAGTAGAATCTTGGTTTGAGCTAGTCGGCACTGATTAAACTCCCCAGGTCCCGCGCAACGGGTTGGGAGTCTCCAGGCAAAATGAGCTTCACCACTGGGCGATGTGCCACAGCCCCGAAGCCCACCTGCCCCCTGTTTATAAACCGGTGGGTGGCCGGCCGGCACTGGTGATCGAACCCTGCGCCTCCTGCAGCTGAACTGATTAAACTAAAGAAACATTTCGGTTATGTTTTTAGTAGCACCTTTTACAGCCAACTTTCATTGATTCGATTGATTGATTTTGTGGGGTTTAACGTCCCAGAACCGCTATTTGATTATGAGAGACACCGTAGAGAAGGGCTCCGGAAATTTTGACCACCTTGGGTTCTTTAACGTGCACCCAAATCTGAGTACACGGGCCTACAATACAGTCAACTTTTCAGACGTAAGATTGTGGCCTCTGCGATTAGCCCCGGCGGAGTGCCATTGGCGGCACTTGTTCAGGCCATGATCAAGCTATGTCTATAGAAGAGGGTTGGTGCAGCACTTCGCCGCCCCTTCTCTCGCCATTCACTCTCTCCCATCCCTGCGCCCTACTCTCCCGTCCTCTCGCTCGTACGTATATACAAATTTAGTGAAACGCGCGCCCCCCTCACAACCGTTCCCTGGCTGATGAATATGTAAATATATGGTTACGGTACAAACCCTCGTCTCGTCATTATATTACGCCATTAAAATTACTTCGCTGTGTGCTCTTGGCACATGAAATGCATTCGCATTCCCTCATGATTTCCTGCGGGGAGGTGGGGCAATCTTTTTTTTTTATTTGAACAGTTGGTTAAACTGGCGGCAATTCACAGAAATGGCATGTGCCTTCTTTTTGCACATAAGAACATCGGTTGCTGCTACTTTTCTTGAAAGTAGTACGTTTCAGTATGCGAAGTGGAGGTTCGACATCATTGATGTGCACTTGAACTTCTTCAAAGATGAACTGCTGTGAGCATTACGACGTGGAGGAACGTTTCAATTTGTGCCGCAAACATACGACTGCAGTGATATCTGTATGGCAACGTACAAGTTTGCCGCGATTCAAAATATTTGTGCCTTAACGCCTTGGTAGTGTAGCGATGGTTACACACCTCTAACTAATTTTAATTCGAATACTTCATTTTAAAGAACGAGTTTATTTTTAGTTTCCTTTGTGAGTTTTCTTTATTCTTGTTGTGATGACGTTTATTCGAGCCGAGAAGTCGCAGCGAGGTCGCAACGGAAAGTGGGCGTACGGCAAGTCTGGCAGAGGCGGCACAAACTCTCGCGCAAGCAGAGCACGGGCTTTTTGTTGTCTTCCGAAGGCGCATACGCGTTGGTGCGTATGCTCCACTACAATACCCCCGGGATGAAGGGTAGCCATCCTGGCGACTCAGGGAGTAGGCACAATGATGGGGTCGTAGTAGGGCTTGAGACGGTCGACGTGTACGGTCTCGTGTCCTCGACGGCGCAAATCTGGTGATTGTGTTAACGGCTCGATGATGTAATTCACCGGGGAGGTCGCGTCAATGACACGGTACGGACCATGGTACCGGGCCAGAAGTTTAGAAGATAGGCCAGGAACGTGCGGGGCACCCAAAGCCACACAAGGGAGCCAGCACGAAATGTAGGAGCTATGCGGTGAGCGTCGTCGTGTCGAGTCTTTTGTAGACCTTGAGCCTCACTTGTCAGGGACCGAGCCAACTGACGGCAGTCTTCAGCGTATCTGGCGACTTCCGAAAGCGGGGAGCACTCAGATGCATCAGGGCGGTACGGTAGTATAGTGTCGAGGGGGTGGGAAGGTTCGCGGCCGTACAATAGAAAGAACGGAGAAAAACCGGTAGTCGCTTGCGTCGCGGTGTTATAAGCGAAGGTAACAAAGGGCAATACAGCGTCCCAGTTAGTGTGGTCGGAGGAGGTGTACATCCTCAGCATGTCGCCAAGTGTGCGGTTGAACCGCTCAGTAAGACCAATTGTCTGTGGATGGTATGCGGTAGATTTCTGGTGGATAATGTTACATTCAGCGAGGATAGCTTGGATGACCTCCGACAGGAACACTCGACCCCTATCACTGAGTAATTCCCGCGGAGCACTATGGCGTAGAATGAAGCTGCGGAGAATGAAGAGTGCAACTTCGTGGGCGGTCGCTGCCGGTAGAGCTGCAGTCTCAGCGTAGCGTGTCAGATGATCGACTCCGACAATAATCCACCGGTTTCCAGAGCTACTATATGGGAGTGGGCCAGAGAGGTCTATACCCACGCGGTCGAATGGGCGATCCGGGCACGGCAGCAGCTGTAACATGCCGGTAAGGTGCCGCGGAGGTGTTTTGTTCTGTTGGCAAGTGGTGCAAGACTGAACGTATTTCTGCACAAAACGATACATTCCTCGCCAGTAATAGCGTTGGCGCAGCCTTTCGTAGGTTTTCAGGACACCTGCGTGAGCACTTTGGGGATCTGCATGGAAATTCATGCAGATGTCAGAGCGCATATGAGTTGGGACAGCAAGGAGCCACTTCCGACCACCAGACGTGTAGTTGCGGCGGTACAGAATGTTGTCACGTAAGGAAAAGTGGGCTGCTTGCCGGCGTACCGCTCTCGTGGAAGGGACAGAAGACGGATCGGTAAGGTAGTCGACTAACAAGGCAAGGTATGGGTCTTTACGCTGCTCCGAAAGCATGTCAATGCTGTCGAGTGGTGACAAGGTGGTAAAAGGGGGTGACAGAGAAGCCACATCTGGTGTTAATGGCGATCGGGAAAGTGCATCGGCGTCCGCATGCTTGCGACCGGAACGATATAAGACACGGATGTCGTATTCCTGCAATCGAAGTGCCCAACGGCCCAGACGTCCGGACGGGTCTTTCAAGGTGGACAGCCAACATAGAGCGTGGTGGTCTGTGACCACATCGAAAGGACGGCCGTAAAGGTACGGGCGAAACTTCGTAAGCGCCCAGATTATGGCCAAACACTCCTTCTCTGTCACGGAGTAATTCAATTCAGCCTTCTTAAGAGCGCGACTTGCATAAGCGACTACGTATTCGGTTTGGGTACCTTTCCGTTGTGCCAAAACTGCGCCAAGACCAACGCCGCTTGCATCAGTGTGAACTTCTGTGGCAGCAGTGGGGTCGTAGTGGCGAAGAATAGGTGGCGAGGTCAGCAGGCGGCGCAGCTGGTGAAATGCGTCGTCACATGCAGGTGACCATGCAGATATACCTTTGCAGTTGGAAAGCAGACTAGTCAGAGGTGCAATGATGGACGCGAAGTTGCGCACGAAGCGACGAAAGTAAGAGCAAAGACCAACGAAACTTCTTAGGGCTTTCAGTGATGTGGGCATTGGGAAGTCAGCGACAGCTCGAAGCTTATCGGGGTCCGGAAGAACACCGTCTCTTGTGATGACATGTCCCAAGATGGTTAGTTTGCGGGCTGCGAAGTGGCACTTCTTGGTGTTAAGTTGTAGGCCTGCAGAAGCTAGACACGCCAGAATCTCGTGGAGACGACGAAGATGTGTCGGGAAAGCAGCCGAAAAGACTACGATGTCATCTAGGTAACACAAGCAAGTTTTCCACTTGTGGGCCCGCAATATGGTATCTATCATGCGTTCAAACGTCGAAGGCGCGTTGCAGAGCCCAAATGGCATGACTTTGAACTCATACAGGCCATCTGGCGTTACAAAGGCTGTTTTAGGGCGATCACATTCAGCCATTGGCACCTGCCAATACCCAGAACGCAGATCCAAGGATGTGAAGTACTCGGCGCCTTGTAAACAGTCAAGAGCATCGTCTATTCGTGGTAGCGGGTAGACGTCTTTCTTTGTAATCTTGTTTAAGCGGCGATAGTCCACGCAAAATCGAACGGTGCCATCTTTTTTCTTTACCAGAACCACGGGTGACGACCAAGCGCTTTGAGAAGGCTGTATGACTCCACGTTTAAGCATGTCATCTACTTGCTCCGTAATGACGCGGCGCTCTTCGGCAGAAACGCGGTAAGGACGCTGTCGCAGAGGTGAATGTGAGCCGGTGTCAATAGTATGAGTGACGGTCGTGGTGCGGCCCAAAGCAGGTTTCTGAAAGTCAAAAGAAGAGCGAAACTTGTTAAGGAGAGCAACAAGTTGGCTGCGATGCGAGGGGGGAAGGTCTGCGTCAATAGCATCGTCGAAGGCTGGTGAGCTTGATGGCTCAGACGCCTGAGTGATTGCGGCAATCTGACATGGCGTTTCGTCGGGAAGAATAGTATCATTGATATGGTCGACAGGTTGCACATATCCTACCGTTTCACCACGAAGCAAGCCAATGGGGTAGTTACAGTGGTTGGTAACCAGCATTACGGTTAAACCAGACGCAATCGTAAGAACGGCAAATGGGAGCACGATGCCCTTGCGTTCAGTAAAAACAGGGGATGGCGTAAACACCACCGTGGCGTCAGGTTGCGCCACACATGAAAGGCTAATAGGGACTGAAGCTTCCGGAGGCAAGGTGATGTCGTCGTCAGCGATGAGTTTGCAGAGCAGTGGTGAATGGTCGGGCGATGGAAACTCACAACTTGGCACTAGGGACACTACCGCACGGCAACAATCGATGATAGCTTCATGACCTGATAAGAAATCCCACCCCAGGATGAGGTCATGAGAGCAAGATGGTAGTACGAAAAATTGGACGATGTACAAAACGTCTTGGATGACGACGCGCGCCGTACACACAGACGAGGGCTGAATGCGTTGCGCGCTAGCCGTGGACAGCACGATGCCACAGAGAGATGTGGTCACTTTCTTCAGTTTGCGACAAAATTTTGCGTTCATCACAGAAACGGCGGCCCCAGTATCAATTAACGCTTGTGTGGCGACTCCCTCAACATTGAAATCAACAACATTTCGCGGCGAAAATGGAGGCCTTGATAATTGCGCAGAAGTTGCAGTTCTTGCCTCTGGAACTGCACTGATTAGTTTCCCTCCTCAGGAGGTGGTCTACGACGCATAGGAGATGGTGATCGGCGACGAGGAGATGGGAAACGAGAAGTTGATGGGCGACGATCCGAGTCAGAGTGCCTCTGTTCGTATGCAGACGTGGTGGCCTGCTGCGACGCATAGGTAGGAGTTCCAAAGGAGGCGTACGCAGGTGTGGGACGGCGGCGGCAGTAGGGTGCAATGTGGCCAGCGATGCCACACGCGAAGCAGATAGGACGGTTGTCATGGGTGCGCCACTCATTAGATGGACGGAAAAAGCGAGGTGAGGGCCTGTAAACCGGTGGCGCTGCCGGAGGAGTTGGAGCCGATAAGGATACTGGATGCGGTGGGGGTCGCGCAACCACAGCTGCGTAGCTGAGAGGTGAAGATGGTGCAGGTGGTGCGTAGCTGACAGCTGAGAGATTAGATGCTGCTGAAGTGCATGCGTAAGGGGCTTGCACTGTAGGTAGGGCATCGCAAATTTCAGTGCGTATGGCCTGCTGCAGTGTCGAAGGCAGACTTGCGGTGGGCGCGTCGCTATGCGGCAGCAGGGAGAGCTGTCGGGCGACTTCCTCCCTGATGAAGTCTTTGATCTGGTTAGACAGGCTTTCTTGGCGAACGTTGACATTTGCGAGTGCGACAGCCGAGATCGAATCTGGTGGTGAGACACTCTGTCGGACGATGGAACGCTGACGGCGTAATTCATCGAAGCTCTGGCACAGGCTTACGAGGATTGCCACCGAGGTCGGGCTTTTCGCTAGCAACATCTGGAATGCGCCATCCTCAATGCCCTTGAGAATCTGCCGAATTTTCTCTTCTTCGGGCATAGATTGGTTAACACGCCTGCAGAGGTCGAGCACATCCTCAATGTAACTCGTAAACGTTTCGCCAGGCTGCTGGGCTCTGTGGCGCAGACGCTGGTCGGCGCGGAGCTTGCGGACCTCTGGTCGGCCGAACGCTTCTGTTACGAGGGTCTTAAAGGAGGACCAGTTGGTGATGGCGGTTTCGTGGTTGGTAAACCAAAGCTTAGCTACGTCTGCCAAGTAAAAGATGACGTAAGCGAGTTTAGAGTCGTCGTCCCACTTGTTGCTGACGCTTACGCGTTCGTACAAGGAGAGCCAGTCTTCGACGTCTTGCTCACCACTTCCGCTGAAGATTGGTGGGTCCCGCTGGCGAGTAGCGCCGGGGCAGGTAGACGGGGCAGCCGATGGTGCTGGCTGGGCTGGGACGGGCTGGTTGGCGACTGCGTCAGTCATGTTTCGCGGTAGTCTTTCAGGCAACTTGCGAGAGCGGAGCTCCAGGTCTTCTTGGGGATCTCAGCAGCCTCCACCAAATGTGATGACGTTTATTCGAGCCGAGAAGTCGCAGCGAGGTCGCAACGGAAAGTGGGCGTACGGCAAGTCTGGCAGAGGCGGCACAAACTCTCGCGCAAGCAGAGCACGGGCTTTTTGTTGTCTTCCGAAGGCGCATACGCGTTGGTGCGTATGCTCCACTACATTGTCAATTATAGCTTCAATATAACCAAGGGGACGTTCTTAAACCTCTTTTGTAGAAGCTGACTCGAACTATGCGAGCGGAAAGCCTGTTTCTCCTCCTTCTTGAACTTGAAGTGTGTATATCCGCTAAATATACGGTGGAGTTTGACGAAGAAATGCATACGACTGGAAGGAGCAAAATACGCGAACGGCATTGTAAGCATAGCGGGCTTGATTATTGTGTACGCTTGCAACCTCGTAAAATTTTAAAACACAATCGCGTGATCCCTTGCCCAATATCACGGTAGCCGCATATATTGAAGAAAAGTACTGAAACGTGCTCTACGATGTACAAATTCACAGAGCACTCATACGCGAGTGCCATCTGCTATGCTCTTTGCTTATAGATGCATGCTCTTCGTCGTTGCACGATCATATGTTCAGAGTAGCCATTGTGACTCTCATAGTCTCATCGCTCATGTCGTGGCTTTTCACTAATATTAGTCAGTACCGTATCCTGAAATGAACGATTGGGCGATATTGAAAAACTTGCAAGGTTCGTGTACCTATTAACATCCATTGAGCCACGGTTAGCCGAATCGCCTTATTCTGTGCTTGTCACCAACAGTGCACGTAATACTAGAACAATTTCGTCTTTCAAACTGCACTTGAGACCTAAACTAGTCCTGGCTACCACGTGATTAGTTATGCGAGATAGTACTCTCGTGTTCTACTCCTAAAATCTGTCGCACTTTGCAATCTTTAGTAAGCGTTTCGTTAGTTCGAGGTTGTACATCTCTCCACGTGCACAGGATGAGCAAGCTGGAACGATACGACAAGAAGGACGTGACTGCTATGCTGCCCACTGGCCGCCACTGGAACGAGTACAGGTGGTTCTCGGTCTACTGTATGGACACAAAACAGAGCTACGCCGACTTGAGCATCGATCCGTCCATCACAGAGAAACTGCCCCTCTACGACCCTAGCTCGTCGGGTCATCACTCGGCGTCAGGTAGGCATGCTCAACTTTTCGAAGGATCCATGAAAGAAATTTGAGGAGCTGCTTACACTTGCACTAAACGATTCGCGAACAACCTTTGCCAAAGTGCATTGGCCAGCTTCAATGTCAACGATTAGCCAAGTCAGATCGCGAGGACCAGGATGGGGCTTGAGCTCCAAGCGTCCTAGGATATGAACTACACTTTCAAATAATGACGTTCATTATCTAACTCGCTTCGAAAAGGAGCCATAAAAAGGCATAGTCAGTAACACTGGGAAAGTGGTTCTTTAATGAGAAGCCGTGGGCCACAGGGGGCTTGAAAAGATATTGGGGGGGGGGGGGTGCGATACACATCCCCGAAAAATAAAGAGCATGTTTTGGAGGCACGCAATGTGCCCCCTCTGATGTTTGATATTCTTCAAGACATAACTTTTCATTGAGACTGAGCTGGGTTATGTTGCCCCTTCTTCATGCGGCTGTGAAGCTTTTGTTGCACTATTCTATGACATATGTATACGACGACACGTCTGCCAGAGTTGCATATTTGAAGAGCTAACATAGACTGAAGCAGGTTGGATGCGGCTGGAGACCGCGCTGCTTATCGACAAATGGCTCCGATTGAATCAGTGTGACCCTCTGGTTTGACTATTCTTTGCCTTGGAGAAGTAAAATGCCGCTATCTCACGCTGCATGGTGTGTTATTTCAGATCTCTTTTGCCTTTTCTTATGACTGCTATATTTCCGTATGACTTCCACCACTCCAAAAGGGGTCCCTAAAATATACGTGGCTGAGAATCACTGGCTTAGGGTGACTTCATTGCGCTGCATCCTGTTCGTAAGATGTACGACATGAACTTTCGTTACGCATGCATTGATATTGACCTCGTAAACTCAAACTTTGCTTGAACGGACGTGAATCGCACCAAACGTAATTCACGATTGGTGTGCTTGCTCTTCGAGAAATGCTGTCATGCACTGTTACCAATTTTGCTTATTTTGGGCCTGCTTGTGCGGCTTTCTTTCTCTATTTTCTAGCTTTTATTGACAGGAAGTATATGTACATCATGGCATATGGTCTGTCACGATGGTATGTACACCATGGCATATGTGGTCTGTCAAATTGACGATCCGTATAAAGTTTACCTAGATAACATCGCACATGCGAAAAGCGCACGAGAGCTGCGGGCGGACGTTGCGCAGGTTCAAAGTAAACATGGCAGCCGTACTGTGGGGGCAGGAGATGGGTTGTTTGACCTATCGACGTGGTTGCCCGCAGACGCTCGTGCGGTATCATCAGATGAACTCAGCAGACGCTTCACGGCTTTGTAGGTGTGGTGCTCTCATCGAAAAGTTCAAGTTCAAGCCACTAAGTCAATATTTGTCGTGACGCGGCCGAGTTTTCTGAAGAAGTAAACTGCTAGTCATAACTTCCCATAGCATCCGTATTTCTGACTGTAATCTTCATTGCTTCGCCATGAAGGCCAAACAATGATATCATTTATTTCCCCATTTGCTCACTACTTATCAAGTGGGACAAGCCGAAACGTTCATCTGCCGAATGAATGTACCTCTGTTGTCACTCTTGCTCTTTGTGTTTAAGCTCGTCATATATCTTTTGAGCTGCTGCTGAATACGATAAATCGCCAATCTTCCATGTCCCTGCAGCAATTCCCGATGCTACGGCAATTCGCCAGGCTCTATACTTTCAACCGCAAAGTAGGCTTGTCCTTCAGATAAGTTACCGACAATCCTGCCTTTCGATACAACCTCAACCCCTCTCTCTGTCCCATAAGGCACAGTACTCTTTTGTAGCAAGGTTCGTGTGTTTATCTTAGGCTTTCCCATGAAACTTTTAGGATATTTTGCTGGAAATGCTCTATCTCTACATCTCTATCTTTACATATTTATCCAAGTCACCTGAAAGTTGACTACATAGATTGATATGCCATTAAACGACAGACATTTTGATCGGATTAGTTTGTAGCGATGCATTATGGTAGGTAGTGACGTTTTACAAAAGATGAATAGAGAAAGTAAAAAAAAGAATGACATGCACGTGGCCGCATTGCTTGTGCTTAATGACAAGCGATTGTGCTTAGTCTTTGCTGTATCCATCCTAGCTCTGCTAGCTGTGTTGCCTATACAGTGACAGTTATAGAGAAACTAGATCATTCAATAATTATTGTAGGCTGTGTGAACCACAGTGCATGAACCGAGACGAAGACGATAGGAAGGACACACAAGGCTTTGCCCTACGTATTGTGCTCGTCTCGGTTGTTGCGCCAGTCGCTCACCATGCATCGCCAACTCACCAAAACTTCACGCTGTGAATCGTTGTAGAGTTTGCCACAACAGCATGCCACCGACCTTGTGCCTTGGCTTTTGGAAGTCAATACCCCAGAATTTAGTTTGTGTTTCTGGAACTATTACGATTTCATTGATCTCTCGCTAGCTCAAGAACCAACATTCGACAGTTTATCAATATAGATCGTTTTAGCCTCGCAATTTCATAATTTCGTGCGTATGTTAACGTATATACATTTACGCAGGTTCCATGTACGATCCCCTCTCGGCACTTTCTACATTCGGTATGAGCCTCGTCGTGCTGCTGGCAGCTGTCGCATTTCAGCGATGAAACGGTGAGATTGTTTCTTTTTTTCTTCCTGTTTTTTTTTCTTTCATAACATAACAAAGTTAGCTGCGACTAGGTGAAGGGTTATCGAGTCTGCATAAGAAACGACGATTGGAACAACAATTTTCGTCCATCCCTCAACCACTCGCTACCACCACCGACGCATCATGCCCAAGTGTTATAATAATAATAATAATAATAATAATAATAATAATAATAATAATAATAATAATAATAATAATAATAATAATAATAATATCTGTTCCCAAACCCAATCGCTTACAGTCATTGCTAGCCAGATCTTTACTCCGACAAATGTAAACTCTGCAATCAGTGGGCGGACCTCAAACACATTATCTGGGCCTCTCCTAACTTCGTGAAGGGGCCAAACACCAAATATTTCAACGCAGAGCAGTGGGAGACTGCGCTGCTCAGCTCAAACATCCAGGATCAGCTACAACTTATCAGGCAAGCCGAAAATTCCACTAAGGCCCAAGGACTCTTAGCTGCCAGCTAGGGGAGAGGATACAATTCCTCGGAAACTTGCCGTTTTGAATAAAGCTGTTTCTCTCTCTCCCTCTCTGAGTGTTAACGTCCCAAAACCCTTATATTATTATGAGAGACGCCATAGTGGAGGGCTCCGGAAATTTCGACCATGTGGTGTTCTTTAACGTGCACTTACATCGCACAGAACACGAGACTCTAACAGTTCGCCTCCTTCGAAATGTGACTGCCGCCGCTGGGATCGAACCCGTGTCCTTCGGGTCAGCAGCCGATCCCTTTAAGCGCTGCGCCACCGCCGTGGTGGTTAGGCTAGAGTTTCGTGACGTTGAGAAGGCGCAGTCGCTGTTATCAACAGTTTTCCTTCGAACTCGCTACGGGACGGACACGTGTAGTTTGGAGGAAGAACAGAAGCCGCTGGAGGTAAACAGCTTCTAGTTATGGTGCGAACAAAATAAATGATCTGGGCAAAAATCGCGATGAGGACTATACGAAAAGAGAGAACACGCGCACACAGAGAGACAGCGTGCCACTTCTAAGTAGGTTCATTTCAAGAAGAAAGAGGACGTCTATTTTTGCAGACAGATTTGTTACGCTTCATCGATCCACAGTCGCATTCAGATATTGGAACTCTTTCTGCAATAAAGATATCAGGCAACATTCACGCAACGATCCATCTGCTTGAATATTCTTCCTTGTTTTCTGTCTCAGTGATTACTCTGTTCCGCTTATTACTGAAATTAGGTGAAACAAACTTAATAATGGAGGCGAAAAAGCCATATGCACTGCTAGCATGCCCTATTTACACTTAGCTGTGTATTTTTAGGCTCTCGGGGAATGTTGGCTCTTTCGTTTGAAGCAAAGAAAAAATACGGCAGTTGAAAATTTTTGTGTTATTACCTCTTTTATATCGCTGTCTCTGCACACAACAGAATGCAACTTAACCTAAAGTTTAGTTTTAATAATTTATACTGCCTTCGATGTGGTGTCAATAAGCGACTTGTCGTACGTTCAATAGTTTCACGGAAAAGAAAAAAGTGAAGAAATATATAGGTTTGAAAACTTTTTTTTCAGCATTCGACGTAGGCAAAAAATGTAATTATGTATGTCTATTGCTTCGTTCCCTCACACGAACAGCTTGATGAAATAATTTATCTACTACGCTGACTACGCTAGATAGACAGATACGTGGGGTTTAACGTCCCATAACCACCCTATGATTATGAGAAACGCCGTAGTGGAGGGCTCCAAAAATTTCTGCCTCCTAGAGTTATTTAACGTGCACCCAAATTTGAGCACATGGGCTTACAACAATTTCGCCTTTCATCGAAAGTGCAGGCGTCGCAGCTGGAATTCGATCCTGTAACCTTTGGTTTAGCAGCCGAGTACCTTAGACACTAGACCTCCGCAGTGGAGTGACTGTAGCGCCCAGTCCGAGCAGCTAGGCTGCTACACTTTATGACTGTTAGGATAAATATTCAGTACCATGAATATAGCTTGTATTAGCCCGGCACACATAAAAATAAAAGGGGAAAGACGACAGAGACGTCTAAAAAGATAGGCAGCTAGATAGGTGCCTACCTTTCATTTCTTCCGCGCTAATACAAGCTAAGTTCATGCCTACCTTTCATTTCTTCCGCGCTAATACAAGCTAAGTTCATGGATAACCAACTCGCCTGAGCCAAAGCACTTTCGAATTCAATACCGATTCAGTGCATCACACCTTAATCTAAAGGTGGGTTTTCGTTCTAGGTCCCTACCATCAAGTGAAGATTTCGGGAAGTCGGCTGCTTTCAACGGTAATGTCTGCCCAGGCTGTTACACAAAGTTGCTAACATATAATCAGTTTTCAGCTTCATGCCAGTTTGACACAGGGCTAGAAACCGCTGTGCAGAGTTTTATTCCACAAATATTATTTCATTTTGCCTTCATACAACTGTGGCGTTCGCTACCTGGTGTGTTTATGTACACCTTTACTTTCTTTTGGATTATCGAAAATCGTGATTTTGGGACTAGTGACTTTGCGACTGCAATACAAGCAGACCTGTTTTCAGGTTCTAAAGTTCTAATACCTAATAAAACCCGCTGAGTAAATTTCATGATATTGGCTCCCAATGTATCTAGCTTAGCTGCACAAGGTTTAAGTTGTTTATTGTGTGTACACAGCCGGGTTTCATCCTATAGAAACATCTCGGGAAAGGAAAAGCTAAAAGCTGTTGCAGCGAAGTAACAAGCGAATTAAGGGGCTAAGGTTTAGAAGGTGACATTTAGAGGTTACTGCACTTTTTCCTGTGCCTTGCTTCATAATATGTCACTGAAATGTCTATTGTTGTGCACAGGTTCCAGTGCACCATGGATCGTGTTCGTGCATGCAACCAGCCATCAACTGCAGCTGAGTGATGAACGTATAGGTCAAGACGCATCATGGACAGCTTGCATATACGAGACGGACTGTGGTGATGCTTACATATTTGTGCAACCGCGAATAAAATGCTCTCATTGAGGGCGTATTTTTTATGTATACTTACTGTGTCAGGGTAACTAGCACGCTTGCCGTCGTCCCTTCCTGTGGCGTCAGCCTAACACCGCCAAGATGCTTCTGTTTTCGGATGTAGATGCTTCTACATCCGAAAACTGCTCAACATTGAATGGGTGGCTGACAACTTTTGAAGCATCGTTTCTGCAGTTATAGTGGACAATAATTTCGAAGCTCAGTTTAGTTTAAAACCTTGTATCGCACTCAGTTATCAGGAGTCGGAAGCTGCTATCGACGTTGCTGTTCAATTAGCTGCATTATTAGAAGATGGCTGATAGTACTGTATTATGGTCCTTTAAAAAACACGGATATAAAAAACTTTTTTTAACTTTAGAAGAATGTCTTTAGGCATAGTACTACGCTGGGTCATAAATAGGCAAATTTGCTTTATGTACGAATTTGATTTTATAATATAAAGTCCCAAACCACCATATGATTATGAGAGACGCCGTAGTGGATGGCTCCGGAAGTTTCGACCTACTGGTGTCCTTTAACGTGCACCCAAATCTGAGCCCATGGGCCTACAGCATTTCCGCCTCCATTGAAGTTGCAGCCGCCGCAGCCGGGTTCAAACCCGCAACCTGTGGGTCGGCAGCCGAGTACCTCAGCCAATACATCACCACGGCAGCACTCTTTATGTACGAAGTCTAGCAACGAGCAGTGGAACGGTCCTTCGGTCCTTCAATCCAGCGAACAAGGCCTGCCTGGCCTGAGGCCTGTTGTTTGTGGCATATGGCTTAAACGCAGACCTATACAAGTGCACGTCAAGTTCGTCGCAGTCATATGGGTGAGTGGCGCGTCACAATGTTAGCACAATGTACATTAGCAGAGTGTAAAAGCCACTGCTTCTGAACTAGACCACCCTGCACCATTACAGTACCTCCAATAGTGGGTGCGTGTTTGCAGAAATGAGAAATCATCACCGTCATATTATTTACTACGTGTATCTTAAACACCTATACATAGCCATGCACCATAGTGGGTATGAGTCATAAGTCAGGAATAAGAACGCCCCGTGTGTCTGTCGAATCTAGTTTGCGACATGTACTCGTCCCTCACGGCAATAATGTCAAACGTCATGGCCCGCCAGCTAATCCAAGTGAGTCTCGTGCTCTGCGCCGCCCCGCAAGGTACGTTTCCTCTATTATTTCTTTACTTTCTCCATAGCAGCGGGAGAGGCACGTGATTTAAAATCAGGAACAAGATAAATGAGGCCTCTGTGTACTAAGCATTAGGCTTCTTTGTGGTTCCTATTGTTGTATACACAATGGGAGCGTCGTTGTGCTCCCTTTGTTTATCTTGCGAGTCCTACTTATTTGGCAAGAACGCAACGTAATTCCTCATTGCACAACATGCCTACTTCTGCCTTGTCCACTACCGAGAGTTTTCTGGAAGACACAGGCCTTTCTTGCTCTCCGGAAAAGTCTGAGCTTCTCCTCTATAAACCGGTCAGGAGGGGCCGTCGACCGCGAGGCTGGGTGCCGCCCCTAGAAAATGACATCCACTTACGTACCAAAAGTGGACGATCAATCCCCAAAGTCGCTTCCATTCGGATCTTAGGTATGACGCTAGAAGCAACGGGCACCAACACCATCACGATTAAAAGGTTGGAAAAAAAGACAGACAGTGTTATTAGGCTCATAAGACGGGTGGCTAACCGAAGGACAGGACTATCAGAGGACAACTTGGTCAGGCTTATACATGCTTTTCTGCTGTGTCATTTTGCATATGTGGCGGCAATGCATGTCTGGAAGAGAATGGAAAGGGACAAGCTTAATGCAATGATCAGGAGAGCTGTAAAGAATGCCCTTGGGCTCCCCAACTACACCCACACCAATCGTCTCCTGCAGTTGGGAATTCATAATACATTGGAGGAAATTGCGGAAGCACAAGAAAGAACACAGGTAATTAGGCTGTCTGGCTCAAAAGCGGGGAGGATGATTCTCGCAGAAATGGGTATTCCACCAGCTCAGATTGAGGCTCTGTACCAAGGGTTGACGAGGGATCAGAAGGAAAACATCATTGTCTCGCCTGCCCCGCGGAACATGCATCCCCAACGTAATGTTGGAAGGAGGAGAGCGCGCGCTCGGGCCCTTCTTCGCCAAGTTGCGGATCTTGACGGGGGGGCCTGTTTCGTAGACGCGGCGCAATATGATGGCCAGAGAGACCGATTCACGGTAGTGGCAATCAACCACAAAGGCATTACAATTAATGCGGCGTCGGTATGCGCCAGAACTGCCAATGCAGCTGAGCAGGTTGCCATCGCCTTGGCTCTTTTAGATCAGCGTAATGAACACATATTTAGCGATTCTAGAGCTGCCATTCGTGCCTTCAGTGTTGGAGCTGTGTGCAAAGAGGCCAAAAATATACTCGGTGATAAGTTGCTTACAACCCATACCATTACATGGTTCCCAGCTCATATGGGAAACATGGACGGAGGGATCATAAATCTCAATGAGTTGGCCCACTCCAGGGCGCGAGGGTTAGCTGTCCGCGGCCATGGAGGACCTTTGGGTCGAACTGGAGATTTCGTAAACAGGGATCCGCCAACTACATATAATGAAATAACCCAACATTTCGCTATGGATAGGAGAATCTTTCCACCTCCACATGCGAAGCTAAATAGAGCGCAGGCGCTTACATTGCGATTACTTCAAACAGAAACGTACCCTAACCCTGCCTTTCTTCACAAGCTTTATCCTGATGTTTATTTAACCAACTCGTGTACAAAATGTGGCGGTTTAGCCACCTTACACCACATGCTCTGGGAGTGCCCTTCGGTACGTGGCACCGATACAGCATCGTCCAGAAAGTGGGACTCCGCTCTCCGGAGTCCAGACATAACATCGCAACTTTGGGCTGTCCAGAGGGCCCACGATGCGGCGCTAGGGCTCGGCCTTACTGTCCCATCGTGGGAGCGGCCCGCCGTGTGCTAGGGCGCACGCCTTCGGACTTGTCAATAAAGTTTTTCCAAACCAAACCATGGCCCGCCAGCTAATCCAAGTGAGTCTCGTGCTCTGCGCCGCCCCGCAAGGTACGTTTCCTCTATTATTTCTTTACTTTCTCCATAGCAGCGGGAGAGGCACGTGATTTAAAATCAGGAACAAGATAAATGAGGCCTCTGTGTACTAAGCATTAGGCTTCTTTGTGGTTCCTATTGTTGTATACACAATGGGAGCGTCGTTGTGCTCCCTTTGTTTATCTTGCGAGTCCTACTTATTTGGCAAGAACGCAACGTAATTCCTCATTGCACAACATGCCTACTTCTGCCTTGTCCTTTCCGAATGGTACAAAAGAGCTCGGCGCAACGCTGGCCCGAGGTCGCTGGCCAACCTGGCCGGCGTTGGCCATAGGTCAGCTGCCGAGGTCTGCCCACGTATGGGGACTGACACGGACCTCGCGTCGGTCGATGTGATGGCCGCCGACGTAGGTCCGACCTTATTGACTGACCTGGCCGTGTGCCAGCCTCCGTAGGGCCCCGTTCGGTCCAGTGAAAATTAGCACGTGGCCAGCTGGCGGTCACTAGGGCATAGCCCCGAGGGCATGAGGGGGGGGGGGAGTAGCTATAGCCCCTTCTTGATTTTTTTTAGTTTGCACGCCTACGGCATTGTATTCATCTGCATGCACACCTACGAACCCATACACGAACATACATAAAGTATGATTGCACCTCACTGTACCCCACAAGAAAATATCAGCTCACGTCAGTAGCAGCCACTGTAGGTCATAGGTATTTGAAACTATAGGAAAATTAATGAAGCTCACGTCACATGTTCATGGATCAAAAACATATATTTACACGAATTCTTTCCACAAACACGGGCGAGTCGTGGATGCTCCCTCCGTGATACCTGAGCGATCAGCCACCTTCCTTGTCCTGGGTTTCAACCAACCATTTTTTTTTTTTACGTTGCGGATGTCCTGTATTTATGTACCAACTCGATTTACCATGAGGCAGCCTATAAATACAAGAAAGATCATGATGAGCTAAGCCATTGAAGCACCACTCCAAGATTTCTTAGAAAAAAAGTTGCACTTGCTTCAAGCTAATAAGGCCAAAGGTGATTAGTAGTTTAAGAGTTTTCTGCTGAAGCCAATTATGCAAACAGACATTCCAACCAAGCAAAACAAAGGTGAAACTGATTACTCTTTTAAACAGTATTGTAAACATTAAGACCTACGCTAAAAGGAGCTAAATTGGTCGGGAGAAATGTGCGCTTCCCGTCAGTATTTTCTACAAGCTATATATAACGGAACTTTCGAATTCCGTGACAGAGCACAGCAATAATTTCAGCCTAAAGATGATGGGAGCAGCTGTATAGCACGCAAAAAGGCAAACTGATCACTCGTTCAAAGGATAGTGTCAAATTTAGCTTTGCGTACAGTTGTACAAGTATCGCAAATAATGGCATGCTATTGCTATAGCTCGAATAGCAGAGCGATGAACTCAGATACTGCGACAGAAATACTGTGCTTTTCTTTAGAGCAACCCCCCCCCCCCCTGAAGTTGGTGTCGAGGTGTCGGCAATAAAACTGCAGTTCAATCAAAAGCGGTTCTGTATTCAGTCAGAGCGTTGTACTCCTCAATAACCTCTCAGTCAAAGCGTTGTACCTCTCACCTCTTAATAACAGCAAAAAGAACGAAACCATGGCCGGAAGTATTGCACCCTTTCCTGTTCACAAATATTTTGCTACATTCCATTCTTTAGGCCTTACACCTCTAAGCCTCACACGATCGATGCGCTGGAGTGCGTATAGGGATAGGCGGGAGAGCTTCTTAAGGAGTCACGTATGTTTAACACCTTTTAAAGGACATGACACTGCGCTTTCTCTGTCGTCCTAATGTGTATTTTACGAGGAATCAAGGCACATATACTCACCGAACTTTAACCACGCTGTTCGCACTGTTGTCTCCTGTAGAATCAACAGTTAAAGTGATTGCAGCCTGTCACTACTATTCCCCAGATTTCTATATTCGTATAGGCCATAGTAGCGTATTTTAAAAATGCGAAAAAAAATAAATTCATAGTTGTGAGACAAATATGTTACCTTTTCTTGGTACGCTTTCTTGAAATTTATGTGTAACAATGATTTTAGCTAAATATTGCACCTAGACGGCCTTCATGTGTCACATGCACTGCAATTATGCCGAAATTAGAGTGATGTTACTGCCCATATTTCAAAAAAGAAAATAAAACGCAGAACAGACGTATGTTTCTGTTTACACTACGCGCAAAATGACAAGCATGATCGCCCGCGCTTCTATTTGTCACCGATCTAAATAAGAGGTCTGCCCAAAATAAAACTGCGACGTCGGGCCAAGCACACTGGCCGACCTACGGCCGACCTAACCAAATGGCGTTGGCTGATGGCAAATCTACGACGTCGGGCCAAGCATGGTGGTGGGCCAATCGCGCACCTGCCCAAGTGGCGTTGGCAAATAGTAAATTTACAACGTCAGGCCAAGCACGCTGGCTGACCTAATGTTAACCTGGACAATGGCCAGTCATGGGCCAACCACTTTTTTTCACTTGTCTGGCCGACTAAACTGGCCGCCGACTGGATGCCAACCCTTAACCTACTGTCGGCCACTGGCCATGTCCCCTTGAGTTGTTCTTTACTGCCATCTTGACCAACGTCAATGAGAATACCCTACCTAGTAAAAGAAGACCTTTCTTCCCTATAACTGTCCTGTGAACGGTGCAGCTGAGAAAGAGAATGGAGAAGTACAATAATTGAACGAATGAAAGAATGTTAAAGTAAAGGACAATATTCTCGTCTCGGGTTTTTCCGTGCGAGAGGCACGATATCACGATGCACGATGCCACCTAGTCGGGGGCTCCAGGCATTTCGACCATCTGGGATATCTTGACGTGCATTGACCTAGTGTTGTACTCAAGCTTTCAGCAATTCGCTTCCAGTGAAACTCGGTCACTAATGCCTTAATTGAACTTGCGTCCTTACGGACAGCAGGAGAATATTGTCAACGCTGTACTATCCCTGCTTGCAGCACAACAACGCAAGCGACAAGTTATTACTACGAATAAAATTTGCAAAATAGTGTTATGCTACCTGCTGCGAGTACGCTCTACCCTGTCAGGAGCATACTCGCAACCGATATATACATGCATATCGCTACAGACACTTAGCTATGCCTCTTTTATGAATTCTCGCAACATTTGCGATGGCCATTTCAATCTCTACCAAGGTGACTACAAGAATTCGCTGAGCTTTTTAAAACGGCAATAGTTTTTCTCTTTTTTTTTTCGGTGGCGTCTTAGGCGAAGGAGCCACTAGATATTTTAATTTTTTCTCTATACTTCCAAGAACCTGCTCTTTACGAACATAGTGACATAATTTGGACCGCAAATAATACACACACAAAGTAAAGAAACACTCAACGACAAGCACAAGCGGCTTGTATGTTGTTACTTAAGTTGCTACTTAAGTCTGCATGTTGTTACTTAAGGCTGTATGTTGTTGCTTAAGGCTGCATGTTGTTACTTAAGACATTGAGTGTTTCTTTACTTTGTGTGTGTATTATTTGCGGCCAAATCATGTCAGTAAGCAAGTACCAACTAGGCCAACAATCAGTATTGTTACAAGATATCTTTACGAACAGATTGAATGCCGGGAAATCTTCTTCAAGAAGTATTCGCTAGTCCCATCTTTGTGTTTCTCTTTCCTGGCATGTTCCAAATTCTTTTTTTAACAAAACTGCTACTTGAAGTATTGTAGGTACTCTCATGATGCTTGCACTCCTCTACAGAGGCTTGTACGCGCCTAAACTGACTCCTTCACATTCTTCTCGGTAAATGATATTGCTCGCAGCGTAAAAGTTTCAAGAAGTATAGTATTCTCCCATACATGGCACTTTATTTTCTCTTGCGAGACAACACGTGCGCTGGTGGTGCGTTTATAGCTCCGTACTAATCATAGCCCTAGAATAGAGCTTGTGCTACACACCATTAAATCATTCGCTTCACTTGAACGCAGCGTCTAATGGGAAGGGGCTGTGCAGGGGAAGGGTGGGGGAGGACAAGGGTTGGTCATTCTTTCTGGTCACCTAAGGTAGGCATGTACGGGCAACATGGCATTTATGACACAAGACCTGGTGTTACTGTATGAATGAAGACCCAATGCCTCCTAGAAAAATTATGCTTGGAACGTGAGCCGCGAACGTGCCGTCCTACCCTCGAATTTCGCCCTCTCGCTCCGGTACAAAGGCGAACGCACCAACGCTCTCACAGTTGCCTCCGAGCAGCTGTGATGTCACGTGACAGAGCGGTATGGTTATGCCACGTGACTGAGCGGTATGGAGGCGAGTGGTTCCACGCGGCGGACGGTCGCAACACGTGGCAGGAGACATGGCCTCCGAGATTTTGTGCTGGCAGAAAGCTCCCAATTGAAAAGAGAGTGGCGTTCCAGGCATAGTTTTTCTAGGAGGCGTTGGAAGACCTTATGTTAGTGTTGCATGTACATGTCTTCATTAGGGTTAACCAATGCAGGTGCATCGCAGCGGTACCATCTAAAAAATTCGCGATGCACTCGGTACGCCCTTTCACGTTAGTGGCTAATGAGCGTGATCATCAGCATAATTATCACCAGCCTGACTACGCCACCTGCAGGGCAAAGGCCTCTCCCCTGTTCCGCCAATCAACTCGGCGCTGTACCCAGTGCTACCATGTCATACCTGCAACCTTCTTATTCTTGTCTGCTCCCTTAATTTTCTTTTTCCTCCTCACACGCTTTCCTTACCTCTGTAGACAGCGACTAAAACAGCGTGAAGGATGGGATGATCAAAAAGAGAACACAGACATTGCTCTGAAGTTACCTTGTTTAAACGTATTTCTTTCTCTTTTCGATCGTCCTCTTCTTCACGGTGTTTAATTCGTCGTCTGCTAGGCAGCATCAACCAGCCCAATCAAGCACACTGTTGAAGCTTTCTCTTGGAATTCAGTTCGTTTCTCCCAACGGCCACCGCTTATGCTGCTACTGCGCCACGTGTCTGGTCCATGTCAACTTCTTCTTCTTGAGCAGGGTTGTAGCCACGTATGATTTTAACGATAGCAGCAACCAAGCCCCCTTGATATCGCATTCAAAGAACAGCTCACTGGGCCCATTTATCACGGAAAGCTGAGAATCGATGGCGGAACCTTCTGGGAAACACGTCATCACTCATTGATTTCTATTTTTTAATCACAGCAGAGCTTGTTTTCTTTCGTACTGGGGAAACGGGTGAGAAGAATGAAATGCGCTAGGTTGATATAAAAATCGTTTGCACGTCTATGCTCATCGGAAGCTTCCTCGCTTCTGGTTTCTCCGCAGTAGCCTTGAGCGTCTACTACGGCAAGAGCCTCGGCGACATCAAGACGTTTGCTCACGGATTCACTGGCACCGTGTACGTCGCCAACGACACCAGCATCGTCATCTCGGGCCTCAACTACGACGGCAAAGGACCCGGTAACAAGCCGTCTTGTTTCATTGATTTCCTGTGAGGTGTATATGTATCTTAGACTAAAACCGTAGTACCGTGCGCCGCAGACTGGAAAGTATGCAGGATTCTCATAGGGAAGCGGGGTGAAGAGGGTAAAATTGGGGCTGTATGATGGGAAGTCTGATTCTTGAAGTCGAGTATCAGGCATCAAAAGTCATAATCAGCTGATATATTCAAAAATCCTGGAAGATGGTACAAGGTATTCAGACGGTCCTCCCCTCTCTACCATTGTGGAACCCCCTAACCTCTGTGGAACCCCCGGGAACGCCATAAGCACTAAGCGACGAATTGAAGAAGTTACTGGTAACTGATAGTTAATGAGTCATGGTAAGGAAAAAGAAATCCTACATCTATAAAATGCGCCTTCGCTAACAAGAAAGGACGCAGTCAGCTGCGTGTTTAAAAAATAAAGTTTTATTTTACCATAATCACGATGCTGAAGGACAGGTGAAAATTGGGAGCAAACGCGAAGAAAACACGAAAAAAAATAGACACCTTTATGTCAATGCTGTACCACACTGCGACTATGAAAAAGCTTTTCAACACTTCTCCGTTACTCTCGCCGTAACAGCGGCCCACTTCTGGGCTAGCCACACCACTGCTCTGGACAAGAAAGGCGACCAGCTCCTCGACGAATACGGAAGGTGAGTGTGAGGTGCGCGGCAAGTGTCCAGGTCACGAAAGTGAAAATCCACTCTCCCGTTTTCAACTACTTCGGATGAAAATAGAGTTAACAAGGCGCCACGGAACTAACAAGGCAAAGAGTAACTTCTATAGAGGGTCAATAGTCTCGGACTATACGGATAGATAGATAGATAGATAGATAGATAGATAGATAGATAGATAGATAGATAGATAGATAGATAGATAGATAGATAGATAGATAGATAGATAGATAGATAGATAGATAGATAGATAGATAGATAGATAGATAGATAGATAGATAGATAGATAGGATAGATAGATAGATAGATAGATAGATAGATAGATAGATAGATAGATAGATGATAGATAGATAGATAGATAGATAGACGGACGGACGGACGGACGGACGGACGGACGGACGGACGGACGGACGGACGGACGGACGGACGGACGGATGGATGGATGGATGGATGGATGGATGGATGGATGGATGGATGGATGGATGGATGGATGGATGGATGGATGGATGATGGATGGATGGATGGATGGATGGATGGATGGATACCCGTCCTTGTTCGCCTTTTTACGCCTAGCATGACGGCTGCGCAAATTATACTCAAACTTTGGAGATGAGTGTTCGAAGATTTATAAGGGCAGTATGAATCATTCTTACCCTCTGACGGCTTTCATCATCCCAGTCGGGTCGCGTCATCCACTGTTCATGTTCATAGCGTAAGATGGGCCCATTCGCATTTTCTAATACTGCAGCCGTCTTCATATTTGTCCATTTAGTTAGTGAGCGAACGCATATTGCCACCTGCACTAAAAAAATTCGCCCACATGTCTAATTGCCATAATACTTCGCCAGTTAGCATTAACGTTTATGCCTTATCACGGAAACTCACTGCTTTTCTTACAATTTTAGTATTGTAATGTTACTCACGTGGTATGATCCAATAACTTCGCAGCGTCAAGGTGTTGAAGTCTTACAAGAGCGCCAAGGTGCGGCTGACGTTGGCTAAGAAGATCACCGACTACAAGTCTTTCGGCATTTACTGCAAACAGTTTGGTGTAAGCGAGTCCTGTGTGGTCATCTTCACACGCGTTTTTTTATCATTTTTATGCGTAGTTTATATAGTGAACCCTATCGAACTTTAGCTGCCTCAGCTCACAGTGAGGATGATAATGCGGCAATCATCACGTGGCGACGATGCGTAGGTGTATCACGGACCACTTGTCAATACCAGGAGTGGCTTCCGTTCTACTCAGCATGTAGAAGACTCTTTGAAAAAGCGATGCTTCGACACTCAATGTGCAGGGAAGAAGTGGTGGGGGGCTTATAATTTTCGGGTCAGTATCACTCATGAAGGTACGCTTACATGTCTTCTTGAGAGTTAACAGATAAAACTACAGCCTGATGACGTAGTCACCAATCATAATTCCGATGATTATTGAGCTTAACAATCTGCCCTAATCTTATTTGGATAAAATTAATAACATTCGTGTAGGACATGATGATTGTCATCTAAGGGATCCTGTTAGCGCCAACAAGGTACAAAGACTGCGAATAAAGATTAGGAATCAAATGGTCAGGCACTAAACACCTGTCGAACAAGGGGCCCAATGTCCAGGACCACTTGCTTTCTGCTCTTTCTTTCATTCTCTCTGTTTCTGCTTTGTGCTAACTCGAATCCATGTGATCGTTGAAGAGAGAATCTCGTCCCAGCCAGTATGTTCAAGATGAGAACTTGTATTCGTTGGGGCAGTTAGGACCCTAATTCAGGCAAGCCCTCCTACCGCAAAGTGTCCTCTACTGTTATTCTCCGTTTATCAATTTTTTTGTCCTGCGCTAGTTGTGCAGTTCTGAAATTATCACTATATTAACTTTAGAAAGACTAGTTGAATGTAGTACATTTCTTGCACTCGGTTATTGCTATCATTTGCAATATAGCTAATACCCCATCACGTCGACCTTTCGCAGTAGTATTACCGAACGTGGCATTTTTTTGTTTCCTTTTTCTATTTGTAGCACGCTATTTTTAGTATTGTTCCCTCTTGACGAAGTAAGTTTTATAACTGTATGAAATACATCACTAGGTCAATTACCACCTGTTCTAGTAAAATCGTACGTTCTGTCACCATTCTGTTGCGTAAAGAAATTATGGTAGCGGTGCTCAGAGAAATCAATGCATTTCCGACCAACGAAGTCTTCCTTGTATATGATATAACACTGTATCCACAAAAAAACTTACAAGCATGCTTCACTGATAACCTATGCATGAAGTTCAGCTATTCATCGTACAAGGGCAGGGCGTGCAGACAAGGACACAGTGAAAATGACTACGTGTCTCATTTACGTGTGCACATGTACATGATTAGGATTGTGTCTATGCAGTGAGGGCAGACGTGGGCAACCTTTTTCGTTAGTCACACCAAGCACCATGCGGCGCCCTTTTTCAGGCATAGGAAAGTTAGCAAGAGAACTCTCCTGACAGCATTTATATAGGAAATTTCCCCATAAAACAGCGTCGTTTAGGCTTTGCAAAGCGGGATATATATTTAATACGGGCGTAAGATGGATTCCTTCAATAGTTTCACAAAGACATTCATACATACATCTTCAGGAGTTAGTTTAACCGATTGCACGGAAAATGCACAGTTTTGTATACCACAAAAAAGATGACATACAATGGAGGTGCCACAATAGATGTGATTGCGTCGGGAATCCAATAGCCTAATTCTTCATACGCCGAAAACATGACTGCCCATAAAAATATACAGTAGGGTGCAAACAGATAATACTGGCGGCAATAATAATTTATGTTTCTGTTAATTTGCGCCTCGTAAAGCAAAGGTGACCTAATCATGGCGTTGTTCATTCATTCCTATTGCCATGTTTTTCTTGTAATATTGCCACGTAGCCATGACGCGGCGAAGGCAGTCATCGGTATGCCCAAGATGAAACTGCTTATTTGGCCGAACTTGTGACCGGAAAACGGAAGATCTGTTTACAGCAATACACACAAACACTTAAAGCGGCGAACTGAGAGTCGGTGGTCGATCAACTGACAAAAGGTGAAGCACGTCGGTATTTATGCATGTGGCGTCAAATATTCCAGCGTTATCGCTAGCGGCCTCGTAAGTTCTAGAAGGAACTGTAACGTTCGCGTTGTGCCCGTAGTCACATAGGAAAGTTCCAAGATTATCTCGACGTTCTTGGTCATTCGTTGTGGTTCGCACAAGGCAGCAACTACGATGCAACAGTGTGACAACGAAACTTGAGGAAGGAATGTGGCATTATGCACACCGCAGGCCGACTTCGGCAACGTCCAGATTCCCGCTGGCTACGAACTGCCCAAGGAGCAGAGCCTCGGCCCGCTGGCCGCCAAGCAGCACAACACCAAGGCGGCCGAAGTTGTCCTCAAGGACAGCGAAACCATGCTGCTGAAGCAGTTCGAGTTCGATGCTACCACTTGCATTGGATGTGAGTACAGTGCGAACGATGTGGGCTTACAGAGTGTGAACGTTTGAACGAGAAGCTTTCCTTTCTATGAAGTCTTGGAAGACCCTTTTTGTACCTTGTCTGATGCCTCATACGTAGAGCACTAACCTAACGAATCTCCATACAGAGAAATTTTAGTGTTTTATACTCCCAAAAATGTGTTAATGGGGCGGTGTTCTATATAGAAGCACTAAAATTAAACAAGAAACTGGCCTTCTTTTATTTACGCTGCAACAACATTGACGCATACAAGACGAAAATGACTCAATTCCGAAAACTCATGTTTGGTGAATTTCTGAGCCACATTTTACCCGTGTTGGCCGCTATGCTAGTGCTAAATCCTTGCTCATAAAAACTGCTCTCGGCAGATTAGCTAGTAAAATAGCTTTTCAGTCAATCTTTGCTCGGTTAATTCGGTTATCCTACCCAGCTGGACAATAGCGATGAGCCTTTAGAGATAATTTTTTTTCTTTGAGTTAATGTTCAATTACGTAAGCGGTTGGGCAACGACTACACTAAATGTCTCGCAACATCACTTAAATCAAGCGTCGTGTGTCGATAGAGCTACGGACCTCCGAAAATTACGCTCCTTCCAAGTCGTCAGTTTTCTCGTCAACTAATTCACCGATCGGTAGGGGGGGGGGGGGAGGGGCGACTTTTACATTCCGCGATTTTTCGCCATTATCTGCGTTTTCAAGGCGAGCTCTGGAGGTCTCATCAAACGCACAAATTGACCGTCGACCTCACTCTCAACACGAGTGATGCAAACAGTCACCGCGTGATGGCGTGATAACGGTGTCACAGTGACGTCACATGAGGATGGCATTACGCAACGTTGTTGCCTTGTCTGTGGTGGGCGAGACATGGAGGAAGCTAAACGTTTGGCGAGAAGCAGGAAGTTTGCAATTCCTCCGATCTTGGAGAGAATGCCAAACCACGTAAGGGCAGAAAGCATTTGGAGTGGGCTGTGGAACGCCAATACATTGTCTGAGAAACAAAAAAAAAGAGATGGCTTTTTCCTTCAATTTCTTTTAAGAGAGTGCCTAAGTGAACATGATAGTTTTCTGGTTGATCATCGGGAGCAGCTTTGCATTTGGATACATTTGTACAACTTTACATACATCAGGCATAGGCACGCATGAACACACATAAATTGCCCTAATTCTCCACACCGAACGAAAAGTACCTATGGCAACGCTATCGGTTATCTTCTTTTCGCCTCTCGAACAAACGCTTGGGATTAAACCAGCTGGATGCTAAGAATAAGTACACATAAAATGAGCAGCTCAAAACTCGACGTCGCCCGACGCTGCGACCTGTAGGGATGCGCATGCTTAAGACATTATACAAGCACACTTTAAAATCCACACATCGGCCTGTTGATGACCTGAGGTATTGTCAACAGCTCATTGCTTTTGTAAAATAAAGATTGCGATGCCGTTTCAATGTCCGTTAACCGCACATATGACTTTTAGGACCACCGAACGCCGTCATCATAATTCCTAACGCTTTCCCAGGCTCAGGCGTAGGGTTTAGGACGTCCCTTTATTTTGATAACCTTTCGCAGCGGCTTTCTTCGTGGCTGCTCCCAGTGCCAATCCACGGCCTGACCAGCTTACTCACCTTGCGTACGACCACGGAAAGTAAGTGTGGCCGCAACTCCTAAGACAAATGTTTGATTATAGTGTACGATGTGTTCATTGTATAGCAAGTTTCAAAACTACCTGCGACATTTTACGCCCTGTCTCATTGGGCGTTCGCGTACTCATGGTGAATGCCCAAAGAACCATCTAAGCGGATAGGTGCAATTTTACGATTTTATGGGTGAAAAGAACGGACAAGCAACCACAGAAGTCCAGTGGGAGGCGTTGCTGACGTCGCTAAACTCTGAGCACCAGCTCCGGCTGATGAAAAGATCTGGGCTGTCGGCTGCTAGCCATAGCTACCTGGAATGAGGCAGTCACCCACCTCTGGGTGAAGAGAAGACGCACCTGGTCACCGGATAAACTTTATTTATCTCTCTCTCTCTCTCGGTTTCAACAATAAATTACCGCTTGCTCAACTGCTTGCGTCAGCAGGAAAAAGCATTTGAGGGTTATCACACCCTATAGCCAGTCACACAACTTGCTTCATATCCCCTTGTTTTCGTCGTACTGTTAACGATGGCAATAGTCATTATATCGACGTGAAGCAGCCCAATTTCGACGGGGACAAAGGCGGCAAGAAGGATGACACTCGCTTCAATCGCGCTCATATTTGTTCCGCTTTTGTGTGTGTCGAATGTAGCATTGTTCTTGTCCCCTTTAACCCCGCCAATGTTGCACTACTTGACCGTATGGTATAGTTTTCAGTCACCAAATTGTCCAGCTCTCAATCCTGTTGAACGACAATGAGCTTGATAATGCTGTAGTTAGTAGGAACCCATTGTCATGATTTATGGTCTTGTAGAGTGGTTTTAAAATGAGAAGCCATGGACTCCAAGGGTTCCACGGATCCAAAACTAGAAAAAAACATGTTTTTTTAGGATACACTATGGCCAATGACAGTGGCCTCTTCTAAATTGGAGCAGTTTTCAACACATAACAGTTTTACATTGCACCAAGCTCGACTTAACTTTCCTTCTCTAAAAGTTGGTTGTAAAGTCTTTTCCTGGTGTCACTATCGCAACGCAAAACAGTGTATGGTGTGTTTTGGTCTCACGGCTTAATTTGGGTGAAATTCGTTACTTTGCCATTAATAATGGTTGGGTTTTTAGGGGCGAAGCTCCTTATGGCATGGCTTGTGCGTCCCTCGTAGTACGTAACCACCAGTGGATCATACCCGAAATAGGTATAACATTTGACCTCCAAGTTGGTGCTGGTGAGAGATTTTTTCTGTGCGTTGTTTAACAATAAAAAATAGTGCTCAATGTACACGACAATAGCTGCTAATGGGGAATGAGAGACAGGAGCATTTGGCTTTTAGTCAACGCGCACGCTGCGATTCTTATTAGCAGCCATTGGCATGTACATTGAGCACTATCGGACAAGAAATGGTTGCAACATTATACTCGCTGGGTGTAACCTCCCTAGTTTTAGAAAGGTCTAGCGAGCGTTGAGCCGCAGTGCCACGAATACAATGAACTAGCATATACCATGCATGAATTCGAAGTGGTTAAAGGGGGGAAGCAGATACGAAGCGCAAGCCGTAAGGAATTAAAAGCTGAATCCTCCTGTCTCTCATTTCACATTAGCAGCCACTGGCATGTACATTGAGCGCTATCTGACAGGAAAAGGTTGCTACGTTATACTCGCTGGACGTAACCTCCTTGGTTTTAGAAAGGTTTAGCGAGCATTGGGCCGCATTGCCATGAATACAGTGAACTAGTATATACCATGAACTCAAGGTGGTTGAAGGTGGGAAGTAGACCCGAAGCGCAAGCCGTAAGAAAGTGTGCGTGTGCCACCTCTCGTTTAGTCCTTGGAATGTCCACTGAATGGCGGTACTTCTATATGGGGAATATATGATAAAAAGATGCGAGATGGTGGGACTTGGAGTGTTGAATAGATGGACGAACGGACACACAGACAGATGCCTGGATGGACGCATGAACGGACGCAGGGGCGGATGCATGAACGAACGCAGGGACGGGCGCACGAACAGACGCATGGACGGTCACACAGACGGACGCATGGACAGAAGAATGCTTCGCCCCACTCTCCATCATTCACTCCGTGAATATGCTGCCATTTTTTTAATATCGTGCAGCTGCGATGCATTTTTTGAACAAATCGCATGAATAACCTCAATAATGTCTTTTGACGTAACCACCTAGCTCCCCAAAGTAAAATGCTAGTTAAATTCACGGTCTTCAAATGTATGTCGATGCACCATTAGATGCCTTCAACCGCAGTTGAAGCAACTCTGAAGTCATCGAAAAAACGTCGAAGTATCCCGCTTCTTGACGATCTTGGACACATTCCTTGTAACGCCTTTTATGCCCATTAAAGGATCCGTGGAGGTGAAAATTAATGTACGAGTCCTTCACAGTGGCATGTATAATAACGATATTTACGAGGTTTGGGTACCTGAAAATGATACTCTACTAGTTAATTATAATATTAACAGTGAAACTCTTTAGAATAAAATATGAAATAACGAGAAATGCCTATCACGTGGTAAAATAAACATCTAGAAAACCGAATGTCAAAATATCACAGCCTATCTATGGAGCGTGTGATGATGAGTGGGGCGAAGCGTCCATCAGTCAGTCCGCGCTTTTCTTCGTCCGTGCATCCAACTATGCGACCATCCATGCGTCCGTCCGTCCGTGTTTTCGTTCGTGCGCCCGTGTGTGCGTCCATCCCTGCGTCCATCTGTCCGCTCCTCCGTCCGTTTATCCGTCTTTGCGTCCGTCCACGCGTAAGGCCGTCCATCCGTGCGTCTGTCCGTCCGTGCATCTCTGTGTGTGTGTCTGTCTGTGCGTCTGTCCATCCGTCCGTCCGTCTGTCTAGTGAACACTTGAAGTACCGCCACCTCGCAAATTTTCATCATATATATATATATAT